ACAAATATGATCTTCCTCATTGTATCCGAAATGTACTTTTTTTTTAACTTGGATCATTATTATTTCAGCACAAGAAAGAAAATTGCTTGTAATTGGAAATTTATGAAAAAATGGTAATCAATAAAGCAGCCGCGTAATTTTATGAAACTCTGTAATAATCTGATAGTTATCTGAGATTTTTAATTTCATAAATCCATTAACTGATACTGAGGAAATAGAGCACCTTTTATTATAGTAAATGTCAACAAAAATATTTAACAGACCATTGTCAAAGTAGTAAGCGTTTTTGTGGTATTACAACAAATTGTTGTTGAGTCGTGATTACTCAATCAAAGCATATTTGCCGTTATTGTCCAAGGAAAATTTGCCAGAAATACGTCATCATCTTTTTGTGCATGTGTGGGGTTGTGTGCGCGCGCGCATGTGTGTAAATAGAAACTATGTATAGGATTGATCTATGAAGATATCGTTTTTAAAAGTTTTGTCAAAACAGTTTCATTAAAACACCGATCATTATTCTTTTCCATTAAATCACCCAAATATTGTAACGATTCACATTATAAGAAATTTAAGCTGCTTGAGTGTGTATCGACTGTTTTTCAGACAGAAAGCGGACACTAGGTTGGGTTCTTGCTTAATTTTTGAATTTCGAAATGATTTTTGGTACATTTTGATTTCTGAAAAAACAGTTGCGTCAGTTTTTCATTCAAAACCAAATTCCGAAAAGTTTATTTGGAGCCTACCTGTAGGTTATTTGAGAGAGCCCTGGATTTAATTTTCGGAGTCGACGGACAACTGCTGCAGGGACCTAGGTCGGCCCGGTCCAGAAAGAAATTTGACAACCACCAGACGAGAATTGAAAAGAACATCAAAGTTGCTCCCACTTCACGGAAAAGTCTTCGGTTGGTGCGTTCGTTATATTCTTCTCTGCTACAACGAATTTTGCCTCAAAAATTGTACCAATTCTTTGAAAACAATTCAGAGAAGTATTTTCTCCTTTTCTTCATTTTATATGTGTGTTTGTGTGTGTTTTTCTGAGGAGCTTATGCAGCAATATCATTTTTTGTAAAAAAGCATATTCCATTTTCATTGAAAATTTACATAGATGTTAGTGGCCATCATTTAGCACACAATGCACTTAATTTGCGTAATTCATTAATTTTTATGTGTTAACAATAAATTTATTGTCTGTTTTTTAAAGTCGGTTCGTGTTGTCTTTGTTGTGTGTCCATATAAAATAAATGTTACCTCAAAAATTTTTTTACCTATTTTTTACTAAATGAAAAAAATCCTATAACGTATTCAAGTGTTTTCAAATGCCTTATAAAGCTCATATGAGATATGTGGATCATATCTACGAGGTCCCCGGTCGTTTGATTATTTTTAACCAGCGTTTTGATCGGATTATCATCAAGGATAGTAGACTTGCCGGAACGTTCTTGATCGTTCAGATCAAAAGTTCTACTTCTGAACTTACTGCTGTTCATAAGAAGTTCGCTTTCATCTGTGACACAATCCCCATGTCTCTTTGCGGTTCGTACAGCATTTCTTATCTTTTTTTTCTTAGAAATAAAAGAGCATCCAATAAAGAAAATTTATCTCACGTTTCACTATTTTAACACCGAAATGAAAAGTATTTAAAATTTACAATCCAAATCATATAGAAAGGCGCGTTGAAATGTCACCTTTCAGAAAGTATTTAGATTTTCAGTCAGGTATGAAAAGAAATCACGGGTTCAAGCGCCATCTAACGAAAAACGTTACGATTTTTTGTTCCAGACCAATACAGTTCAAGTAGTGTATTTTCTTATTTCTTTTAATCATTGACACTGCATTCGAATAGACAAATTTCTGCCTGCAAAGATTCTCCGACCTTATGATAATAACCAAAATAGATAGCAGTTATACTGGTTACATTTTGTGGTTATTTTTCCATATTAATATCCGCTACTTAGTCGGTTAATAACTCTGCGACTATAGCATGAAAAGAAAAACAAACTGATGATATTTTTTTTCACTTCTATTTTTGTTATCAGCTTATTTTCTGCATACAACGTGTGGAAAGCCTCATCAGCCGACAACCATAGAGAGGTAATACAATTTTGGTGGTTACAGCGGTACTGCCACCCCTGGCGCCACCAGCAGCTTTTGTCCCCGGTCAGGGTATTGCTTTTTCAGTTTAAACGTGTCAGTCTCTTTAATTTTTATGCAACTACAAGTCAGATTTTTCCAACATTGTATTCAATAAAAGCGTTTGTTTTTTATCGTTTGATCAAAATCAAATGCTTTTATTACTTAAAAGTGATGTGCTAATTCTTGCCATTTCTTGTCTTTGTAGGAACTTTGCCACGGTGGGATTGCATGACAACTGGAAACAAAAAGATAATTTGTATTTAATTAAAAAATATAGTGCCTTCATCGTCGTTACGATACGTAACTATGGAAATGCGTATTTGGCCAATTAGGTAAAATTACAGCCTCAAATGTCATCATTTCATTAAGACCTTTCTCAATTAAATAATAATGAAAATACGTGGCTTTTCATAATTTTACTTTATTCTGTCTGTACAAGACAATGTTGACATCAATCGAACTGATTAATTGATTATTTGATGATTAACTAATTAATAGCGATAACATTGAAAGTATATTTACAAATTATGTTTAGTCACATACCTTTGTAAATATTATCTTTCGTGAACAGTATCCGCCATTAAAAATACAAGAAGAGTTACACAAACTTTTCATATCATGGCAATACCACCTGAACATCGTAAAACTTCAAAGAAGGAGCAAATGGTATTATTGAATGAGTTTGGTGACAACAAAAGTTAATTTTATATATTCATAGCATTTAATATCATAAACTAGCTTTTATATTTTAGTCTTGTTGTAAATATAAAAGGAACATAAAAGGAACATTAAAGGTTGAGTATATAATTTTAAAAAATGATGAATGATATCACAGATACATATAAACATTATTTTTACTTTTAAGTGAATGTGCGTATTGTTTTCTGTATGTATCTAGAGATATAGAAATGTTTTAATTTTCCAAAAACTCTCAAAACATTGTGGCCATGTTCATAGTTGATATTATTGATTGTTGGTTTTTTCTTTTTTACTAATAATGCTTCCATTATTTTTAGCATTTTTTTTTTTTTTTTGCATATAGACGAGACTATAATACTTGTATTATCAACGAGTATGTTACGGATAGAATTTGGTAGGTATCCGTGTGTATTTAAATGAAACCTAATATGATCAGAAAGATGTAATGTGAGTTTTCTTGTTAGGAATCTGCTGACCATGTTTTGAAAATAAAGCATTATTATAAATTATAACACAAGAAAAATTAAATAAAAACGTTAACCACAGTACCTTGTCAGTCGTTTTAATGAAAGTTTATATATATATATATATATATATATATATATATATTCCGATCCAATCCGACGAAATACCGAACTAAAGATGTCTTCGGTTTATTTTAATAGATTTTAATCGACTACATTTAGTAATTGATGTTAAACAATGATCCCCATTTTAGAATATATATATATACATATGTGGAGGGGGAATTTTATATATATTGTAGGCCGATGAAAGAAATTCTCGAGAGAAAAAACAACAAAAATAATAATAGTCATAATAAGACTAATAATGTTTATTGTATATTAGTAGACCTTTTGACAAAATAGAAGCATGGTGAGAAAAGATGTTAAAAATCGGAATTTTCAGACATGCCTGTGACCTTTTTCAACAAGAAATAAAAAAAAAACTTTGGACTTTTGGAGGGTATTTTTATTATAAATATCAATAGCTATACTATAAACGTATTATAAAAATTCACACTATAAACTAGGTTAATGCAAACATTTCTAATATAATCATAAGTTGATATTGATCTGCGGGTAGTGTAAAGGATATCGACACAGAGGAAGGAATCAGCGAGCAGTGTTCAAATTATGAGCTAGTCTGCGACGTTCACTTTACTTAGAAAAAACATTTTTCCCAACTATGGGTTTAGACTGCAGGATAGACTAGAGACTCTCCAATCTCGGTGGCGAACCAGTGAAAAAAAAAAGGAAAACACTGAATTACAAACCATCGAAAACGAAAATCTCCTCTCTTCCCCAAGAATGCATGGTAATTGACATATGATAGAAAAAGAATTTGTGCAAGGATTTGCCTTTGACCATGGCATTTTAGAATTATCAGTTGAAATTTATATGATACATTTATTTAAATCTATCTTGCGAATGTTACGTACATTGGTTGTCGTATACCAATTTTATTGAGAAAATTTTGACTTGCATAATAAAATTTGACATAGTGTACATAATCATGGTTACTATGATTGTTGTTGTTGTTGTTGTGATCAGTTTTTGCTTTATTCTTATTGTGGTTGATCGTGACATTATGTTTATCAAGAGTTTAATGATCATTCACCTGCACGAAGCAAACATGACTGAAGGGGTTTCGTGATGGGTGTTCGCTCACTTGGTGGGGTGATTGAAAAGAGAAAAAGATTAGATTACAGGAATGAGAAAACTGGGGACGGGAAAGATATTGTAGTCATTAAAGAGGACTCGGTGAAGTGAAGTGTGAACATTACAACAGGCAAGTGATAATAATAAAAAAAATATAAAATAACAGTTTTAAAAAGAGAAAAACTACAAAACAGAAACTCAGAATGTTTCATTTTTTAATAAAAGATACTTATTCTGATTTTTCCACTGTGAATATCAGATAACATGGCTTTGTGTTGAGGAATTGTGAATGCTAAGTTGTTTCTTGATCACCAGTGGAGCGATGTTATTATTACCTGAACCAAAGCAGGTTTCACGTAGCTTCGGTATTGGGCTTTGTTAGGAAGAAATCGGAATAAGTAATTGTTTATAAGTGAGATTCGATGAGGAACAGTTGTGATGGAATAAACCAATAGGTAGAAACAGATTGACATATGTACTTAGAATAATTAAAGCGTTTTTGGATTATTCCAAGAATTATTGAGCAAATATTCAGACGTTTATTATGATTACTGAATTCCTGAGATGATGTAGTCACTATTTTATGAAGCTTGCCGGAAAATATTTTGCTTCCTCTATTGTTGCTGATATATTCCAGTTTTCATTTTTCATTTGTTGTTCATTTGAGATGTGTGCATACATGCGTATGCGTGTGTATATATATGTGTGTGAGCGTTTACGCGTGTACAATGTTTAAACAATTAACGGATTTTTTTAATCTGGCATAATTGTTTATTATCATAAACGTCATATTTAATGGATACACGTGTTTAAGTGGACACCCTTGTATTTATACAGTGAAATCAATATCTACCGGCTTAGCGAAAGTAAATTATAGAAGTACATAAATAATAAAATTTTTAAAATCAGGATATTCCATTATATATATATATATATATATATATATATATATATATATATATATATATATATATATATATATGCGTGCTTATATGATGTTATATCTTTGCCACAAAAATGAGGATTTACTAAGGAGCTTTATTTCTGTAGTAGGCTCGTTCAAAACTGGTTATTCCACAGCGAATACAAGAATATGACTGATAGCTCAAAGTATATCAACTTTATAGTGTTGCCGCCTCTCCTCTACCTTAAGTCTATCGAATTATTCAGTGTTGGTGGTCGTTTCTAATATCTTCTGACGCTAAGAAGGCTCGTTATATGTTGTAACGCCTTCGAGTTTATTTCTTTTCTAGTATCATTCCCTTTTTTCTAAGTCTGAATGTCTCTCTCACAGAGCCACTGGTAAGTTCATGAGTTTGCATCCATTTTGTATATTAAAGAAAAATGAAAAACTTATTTTATTAGTTTAAAAGTTCTGCTTGCAAACATTTTACATGGTGACGCAACATTTGGCAAATAAAACATAACATCATGTTTGTAACCTTTGCATTTGTTTCGTTTAACTTTTAAGAAAGCTATTGCAATTCCCAACTGACCTTTGCTTATACTCAAAGTCTTTACGACTACCCAATATACACACGCGTTACAACAGCTCATACACGCCACAAGATAATTTTAATTAATTTTATAAGTAACATTTGAGTTCGAATATGACCTTATCCGCCACATCATTTGTGAGGTAATTTTTTCCTTCGGGTAGAAAAATATATAGCTCCATTTAACTAGAAACTGTTTCATTTTCGTTAGAAATTATATGATGTTCTTTTCTGGAGACTTTGAAGAAACCTCCGATGTCAAACTGAATATTCTGTATCTTGTAAGTTTAATTTTCATACCCGAAATTAGATAAATGTGAGTTTGATTGTGGCATTGATACAAAAGCAGAAGATTCTATTAATAGTATAGTTATGTTATTTAGCTAAGTATATAATACAAAATATGCTTATGCGTAGATGTAAATATTGATGTATATTTAACTATTGTATACATATTATGTACATTATTTACATTCGAATTAAGGTCTTCTTTTTATCACAGCAATTCTTTAATCATGTATGGCGGTAAATGGGTAAGCACCAACCCCTGTAAAATGCAGTAGAAATTTTAGATAAAACAGAAACTCGGCATTCTGATAAATACTTCCAAATTATTAATAAGTTTTTACACTCAAAACATTGGACAACACCGCTAAGATGAGAAACTAATTAATTTTCCATTTCGATTAATGGTGTTTAGTCTTTATTGGAACAGTAAAGGAAGTTAATGGACGGACATGATCACACGCATGACCTGAAAAGACATAGGCATAAAAGAGGTAATCTCTAAAAATTTATCAATCACACAAAAGAAGAGTTATTTGTTCAAATGAAACAAAAAAAATAAACTTTTAGGACATTATCAGCAATATTAGGTTTGAAAAAAGATGTTCACAGTGGATGATATTAAAAAAACAAAAGTGAAAGCTACTTCAAAATCCACCTAAGAATTGTTTAAATTGTGTACGGTTTAGGTTAATCGGATGTTTCTCTAAATGTTTTGACCTACATCCAATAGATATTTCTTACTCAAATTGACAATTCCTAATCATAAACGAAAACTTTCGAATCTGAACGTTTTGAAACTATCCTGCATAGAAGTATGGTCTAAAATAGCAATGCTTTGTGCCAAAGGAGCCTCAATTAAGCATTAGTTGATGGGCTCAAATACAGAGGCAAAAGTCATTGAAAGGAACTACTAGTTATTATGGAGAAAAATAATAGTATTAATTAAGTGTTAATTATTATCAGTTCACAAATTGAACTGTTTTACTTATAGATAAATGCCATTAAACTAAATTAGGTATGATTAATCAGTAAAAAATAAAAATAATCTAGAGGTCTAATATGCATATAACCATATACATATGTATATATATATATATATATTATCATATATATGATAAAATATAGTTTTAAGGTATGTTATATATATGGGTAAATGTACTCAATATCAGAAATAGAGAGTATGTAAGAATAAAAGTAGACACTGAGTTCAACACCGAGCGACGACATGCTTGAAGGTTAGCATAATACAATAGACCTCGCTGCCTCGCTGCCCATGATGCACCATTGAACTGCGTATATAAATAGTCGAAACAACACACAATACATATGGCCAGAAGATTGCGTTGAAACTTAAGAGACTGTACCGCTCGGTTTTAACGTGCCTTAACCGATTGAGCCACAGAGGATCGTTCGATTAGCAAGGTCGGTTTTACTGCTTTTTAAACTACAATCTTCCATGAATCTCTCACGTACATTCATATCTACTCAAAGTGTATCCAAATGTAAACAAATGATGTCACACATTATGAAATGGACAAAGTTCGACAATTATTTTAAGACATTTTTATTTTTATACATTCTTTTTATAGACACAAATATTTAAGTAAACGCTCTGTTTATAATAAACAGTATTAATAACATTTACCGGCCTAAATTCCCGAGAAATTTTCATAGAAAATATTCGTCCTCCGACAGGAATCGAACCTGTATTCTATACGAAACTCTGTGGCTCAATCGGTTAAGGCACGTCTGGCTATATGACGGTTCCGTATAGGATACAGTTTCGATTCCTGTCGCAGGATGAATATTTTCTGAAAAATCTTCGGACATTCAGGCCGGTAAATGTTATTAATACTGTTTATCGTAAACACAGAATTTATTTAAATATACTTTTACTTACTTAAACACTGTCTCCCTTTGTATTTTCTATAAGTATTTTCAGGTTAATTGTTCTGGTGAGCTTTCCTCTTTGATAGCAAAACAACCTTACCTAAATTTAAGCGCAGAACTAGATTAACAACCAGGTTTCATAATTTCATTGATGGAATTTCTAGATGATACCGTATGTTCTATCTCGCATGGGGAACTCTCTTCCGGCGTTCTACTTTCTTTCAACTCAGATCTTCAAAACCTTAAATGCAATATCCATCGTCACTTTCTGTTTCCTGAAATCTGTTCTTTTATTGTCCTCTTTGATTACTTCACACTCTTAGTGGCTTTTAACGCCATTTACCGAACATACACACACACACACACACATACAAACACACACACACACACACACACACACACACACACACATACAAATACACACACATATATATGCATGCAGGGTACGAAGGGTAAATTGATGCCATTTTATATTTTTTTAATTTTGCACCAGAAGCTCCAATATGAACATTTTAGAGTGTTTAGGTGTCGATCTGAGAACACTGCAGAAGATTCGGAAAGAGTTGGGTGAGTAATAGTGATTACGAAGGTGTTTGGAGTTATCACTAGTGATGGCGACATTATGCCTCCATTCATAACTCAGACTCAACACGGAGGCCTACATCAAGTGCCTTGAGTAGGTAGTGCTGCCCTGAGTCAAGAGGGTGGCTACCACACAAGAAGGAGAACCCAGTCATGGCTGTCTGACACCCCTTACATCTGGCCAACAGACTGCACCTCTCTTGATTATTATGTGTGAGGTGCAATTGAGCGAGAGACCAACAAAACTCCTTGTAACACCAAAGGTAAGGTTTATGGCTGTTTTCACCTACTTAAACAAGGACACACCCTCCAGGAGAGTTGCAGGAGTTTTGAAAGTCGTCTCAAGACCATGTCTAAAGCGATTTTATTGGATAAATTTACTCTTGTGTAATTTGGGTAAATGTATGTTAAAATGAAATGTCAGTGTTATTTTCATTTTTGTGTAATTTAGACGACAATTTAACAATTGCACCCTGTATGTTGATATGTGTGTATATGTGTGTATATGTGTGTATGTGTTTGTGTCACTTCATGAGTACAGCTGAATTTTGTCAAAATATTTGAGTATCCGTGAATTCGATAGAGCGAGTTGTGAAAGAAGAAAAATATTTTTCTCTTTTTCTACTGTACTGTGTTTATGCACAAGACACACAGGAGTCAAGAAATCAAAAGTAAGTAAATATAATAATGTTGGTCTAGAATGATGCCAGTGACAGTTTTTCGTTGAGCAATTGGGATTGACAAATTTGAATCAGTAAAAGCAAGAAAGGGTGCCATTTTAGGATTATTCACCGCCGTTCTTGCTTCCATTTATCTTCTCCAAGATCTAAAGCAATAAATGATGAAAATACATTTTCTTGTGATAATTTTATACTTTCATAATTTCTCAGTTAAATATATACATGATTATGAAAATTATTCGTCTTATCATGGAGTAATTTGTTGATAATGAAACACTAAATGATGATTTTCTGATGACGTAATACGTTCAAAAAATTCTTGTAGTGACAATATATTTTAAATTAAAGCGTATCTGAGATCATAAGCTTTTTGTGATAATTGTGTTGCTTTTAAAATATAAACATATAGTACCATCATATTGGCAAAATCTAAATTCTCTTGAAAGAAAAAGACAAATAAGTCTTCTTGCTGAGGTACTATAATTTATAAGATATATATTAATGAGTTTTACAATATTTTTGAACTAGTAGGTTCACTTTGTACTTTGATAGTGCATTAATATACCACTCATGATAAGGTGCTTGAATGAACCACTATCTAGACAAACAGGAGTTCATTTTAGCGCCTTACCATAAGTGGCATATTCTATCAATAAGATTCTATTATTCACTCTTTTATAAGATACCTGAGTTATACAAAATTCTAAAGAGGTGTTCTATTTTTCATACCCAGAACATATTTTGCAGATTTTATTCATATAAAATACGAAACATTTACTCATCTGAATCCCTAAACAGGACGGATCTATGTAAAATGAACTGCCCCTGTAAATGAAATTACTTGGGCCCATGTGGAAGATAAGTCATCGATCCCTATGCAGTGCCAAAGCGACGTTAATATCAATTCCCTCTTTTCACTCTTACTCAACGCCCACTCACTATGATTGATGTACAGAGACAGTAAATGATTTACGCGATGATTTCCAGCGTAAATCGTATTGAAATTCGTTCATCTTAAGGTAGATGGATACAAATGAAAGCTGAGAGTCCGGTCGCTTCTGATTGGACGCCATTTTATCACCTTTTCAAATGAATAATGTTTACTTTGTGTCACTGAGGTGAATATTTATCAGTTCTTCATACATTCATACATATATATATATATATTATACACACAGACATATATATATATATATATACTTACATTTTATACACACATACACACACGCACTCACGCACACACACACACACATATATATGTATATATATATATGTACATTTTTTTTCTCAACTGTTTCATATCTGATTTTCTTGCGCAACGTAGTCGTCAGGTGCTGATTGTTGTGCATGAAACTCAAAGGAATGTTACCAGTGAAGACAAAAATCTATATTACACACACACACACACACACACACACACACACATATATATATATATATATATATATGTGTGTGTGTGCGTATGTATGGTTCCATGTGTGTAAGTATATCTCATAGGGAATATTGCTCATGCATTAAATGTCTCTAAACTCGAGTATAAAGTTATAAATAACATACTAATTTAGCTTGAACGAGATAAGACTTCAAACTATATATTTGGCTATAGATAGATAGATAGATAGATAGATAGATAGATAGATGTTTTTTAAATATCAAATATAGTGAATTATTATGTTACCGTACAAGTGAATCTATAACTGCATTCAGACAGAGCAGGTATCGTCTAAACGCTTTCTCTCGTGCTCCTGCTCATTTACAATATTTAAGCCCCCCCAAAAGTATGGCTTTAAGTCAGTTCATTTATTTATTTATTTGTTTTGATCTGAGCTTGTATGATTATGTGTACGGTTAGAGATGCTTAATTTCAAATATTTAGACAATACTTCTTACTCATTATAATTTTTTTCATTAGTTTTTCATAAAAAATACGTTTATGAAGTATTGATACCTAAATGCACATGACATACACACACAGCAGACCTCGGGAGCGTCTATGAAGAACAAACGCTCATTTTGAAAATCGCACTGCATGACCTGAAATATTTCTGTTCATGAGTGAATAACCAAAAAGTGTTATTTTATTTGTATTAAAAATCTCTTTAAAATTTTAAAATTGAACACTCCTGTATACATAAAAGAATATACACATATATATATATATATATATATATATATATATATATATATATATATATATATATATATATATATATATAACCTCTGATATCAACAGCGACAAAATCACTTACTTGTACGTATGTATGCATATACATATCTTATATGAATTCCTGTTTACGTGAATGGAATCTAATGTATTCAAGCAAATACATGTGTACGGATACTTGCCCACTTGATGATGTGGACAAGTATAACTCAACTGAGATTGAAATTCAAAGACCGCCATAACAATATGGATAATCCGAACATATTGGCTTCTTAACGCTTTTGCTTTTCGTCAGCATTAGAACATACAAATCCCTCATCTTTCTCTTGCAAAATCCGATATGTTATATTGTTTGACAATTCTATGGCATAAATGCCAGTGCCAAAGACACCAAAAATCTGTCGGCAGTTCCATTCTTCTTCGAGGGATTCTTTTCGGAACGCTCCAGAATCAAAAACTAAAAGAATCAACACTTAAGCCAATCTTTGTTTGCGACAAAATAGGAAAGAAAGCCGGCTTTTATTGGGTTTGAGGACGAGAATCGAACGAAACCTTCCTAATGAGACAATAGGCAAGCAATTTTCTTGGAGCAAAATGAGAGGTAGATAGGCAGGTAAGTGTTGAATTGTTTTTATTTCTGTTTTGATTAGGCGCTCGCCTTTTATTAAAAAAAAATGAGAAGCCACTAGATGCTGTCGTGTTATGTAGATCGGTGGTGAATGACTCATTTTTATGAGTTCTAATATTTTACCGTCTTTTGTTTGTTTGTAGCTGGAATATCTTTTGGATTCGCAGACAAACGGAGCCGGTTAAAAAGTCTTCAGCTTGATGAAAAATATTTTCCTTGCTTTCAGAATTGTTTGGCTTCAGTTCGGTATCCAAAACTAATCTCCCCTCTCCCTCTCTCTCTCTCTCTCTCTCTCTCTCTCTCTCTCTCTCTCTCTCTCCTTCTCTCTCTCTTATTGTCTTCATCCTGTCGTTGCTTTTGGAATATTTTTTCTTCATTTTCCTTCCTTTTTTCTTTTACTTTTGATACTTCTTCTCTGCTCTTTTTCTCCCTGCCTCACTTTTATTTTATTGTTATCCGTGATGCTATCTTATTCATTCATAGGTGTTCTCTGTCTTCCATTTTTCATTTATTTCTTCTTGCATTTTCTGGTTTCTTTCTTGTTTAAACGCCATGGATTTCTTTTTCATCACATGATTTATCGTCCTCTCTATTCTCCTGCTTTTCCTTTTATACTCTCTTTTTCTAATCTGCTTATTTCCTTTGAAAGACCACAAGTTTACTAATAAGTCCAGAAACTATGTTTACTTGATTGGTAGTCGACCTGAACACCTACTCCTTTAATACTATTTTCGCTTTCCACTTCACATTTTTTTTAATTCCACATGCGCCTTCTTTCTACTCCTCTCTCTTCTCATTATTCTTAAAAGTTATAATATCACTGGTAACAAATCATAATTAAATCAAATATTCATATTATTACATCCAAGTTATTTTTCCAGTAAAAAATCCTAAAATTAATCTTTTTGACATGCGTTACATGTACTATCACTTGAACATATATATTAACATGTGGGAGATCGAGTCTCGTGTTAAAATTTTGCATTTTAGACTTATTCCGTACAACCCAATGATTAGATCAAATATTTTTAGACGGTGAAACTTTCATCATAAGAGAGAAAAAATAAATTATCTCACTGCTCTATCTATCTATCTATCTATCTATCTATCTATCTATCTATCTCTATTTGCCTCTCTCCCTCTCCCTTTACATATATATATTCTTATTCTGATCTTCAACATTAAATCGTCTATGGTGTGTGTATGTCACCACGAAATGTATCGTTATGCATTAGAGATCCGACAACACTCATATTTCTCTTCCTTAAACCCCTTCCAATCACCTCTCCTAAAATTCTCTCTGTTAAGGTTTAATCTCCCTCCTTCTCTAGACTCTCTCTAAATTCTGTTTTTATTACGATTCCAATGGAATAAATTATGACCATGTTGGATTATAAATAATTTCTGTTTAAGTTTATCATTTTTTTTCTTCAGAAAATAAACTATATATAATTACATTTTATTCAATTATATATTGACCATTATTTGCAATGACGTGTTGTTCATCTTTTGATGTGAAAGTCTTTCAATCATTAGAAAAGTTGCCCTATCAAAGCGATTTGCAGCGATCGGAAAAGGTAACAATCGTTTAGTGAAAGGGTCAGATGAATATGGCAGGTAGGGTAGAATAGACCAGTCAAATTCCAATATTTCCCCTTTGTTATTCGTACTGCATGCGGCCTTGCTTTGTCATGGAGAACAACATCTTTCTTTTAATCGCATGTGTACACTGTCACTGTCGTGCAAAAACTAAGGAATGTAGTGTATAACAGATTTATTCCTGTCACGTATGATTCGTAGTTAGGATGATAAATTCGTCATGACGAATGGTTCCGCTTAAAACAAAAATTACTTATGACTCAACCTAATGGCCAGTTGTTTTCTAAATATTCTATCTTCTAGCGCGTTTGGCCAACCTCTGTTGCAACCGCTGTTCACCTACGGAGCAGACGTTTTTTAATATTGAAACTATACTGCAAACTAATACGTACACACACACAACACACACACACACACACATATATATATATATATATATATATATATATATGTGCTCCTGAAAAATTTATTTCTGTTGAGCTCTCTGGGGAGGAAGTATAAATTTGTAAACCGTGACTATTACCGCTAGTAATGCAAGACTCTTCGATAAAGCGAATCGAGTTCTCTCAGTCACTGTGTCTTTATCTAAAAATAAATACGCTAAAATTCGTTTTCATTCCTGCCGTACAACAACGGGTTAGGGGTAGAATATCCGACTAACGCCAATTCAGCCGGGCTTCGGCCCCAGCTAGAGGCAAGTGGACGTCTAGCCACACTGATGAGCTGTGAAACAGTCTGCCTGCGAAACAGTCTGCCTGCGGATGACAATATATATATATATATATATATATATATATATATATATATATATATATATATATATGAGATAACGATAAATAGTTTTTATATATCAAGAACAATATTGGGGAAATGTATGAGAAAGTGGAAAAAGTTTTCTGGTGACGCGTTTCGTCTTTTAGGACTTCATCGGACTAAATTTTTTGAAAAAGAAAAAGAATCTAAATGAAATATATACCAAGCGACCCTTCTTCGTGCGTGTGTGTAGCCGCGCCAATATAACAAATTTAGTCTGCTGAGTTCCTAATGAACGAAACGCTTCACAAGAAAACTTTTCTCAGTTTGTCATGCATTTTTCCCCAATATATATATATATATATATATATATATATATATAGTGAGAGAAGTATTTACATAATTGATTTGTTTTTATGGCTTATCAATTGTTTGTGGGTTATTTAAAGCCGAAACTTATTTTGGATTGTAAGAATAATTATTCTCAATTTTTAGAGTGATTATTGCATTAATAATTTTTAGTTATAAAAACAGTTTCAGCATATACAGTTGCTATTATTAGCTGGAGAGGAAATGCATTACTATCTTCCCCAAGAGAATCTTTACATAAATGAATGTAATGAAGCCAACTGGAATTCAAACTCGAATTTTCATGATTGATGCAGTAGAAAAACCTTCTGGAAAATTTCTACTATAAACAAAAGCAGTTCTATAATTAAGCTAATAATACAAATTAGCATAATATGATCCAGTACCATACATAAACCTTCGTATGTGTTTCCCTTCTTTTTTTGTCAAAAATGTACCTCAAGAACTATGAGAAGAAAATGGTCAGCTCATTGTATCATCCATCCTTGACAGAATTCAAAATAGCTTTCGTATACTTCTCTACTTTGCAGTCTCCTTCTCACGGCGTCGCAAGCCTAACGATTCTCTGTCGATATTTCCATGGAAAATGTTAGGGTGAGCGTTCCATTCTTTAGCCCCACCAGTTCAAACCTTTACAGCTAGAACAAATCATGCTACTTCCACGGGCTCGAATCACCCGAATAACTAATTTGTCTAACATAATCTCGCGCAAATACTTCATAATCTTAAACTTCATAATTTTCACTTCATACTCCCTTTCATTCATATAAAACATCTCATTCATCTTCACCATTTTAACAATGAACCCTCTACCTTGAGTAGCTCTCGAGCTTTGTTATAACTGTAGTATAAAAAATTACGAAGAAAAACGCCTCTAATCAGCTAACATCAGATACCATGAGAACCACGCTTAATGTAGAATCAATGCATTTCTTATTTTTATCATTATTATTATCATTATTTTGTTTCGTTTTGTTTTTCTCAAGGACAGCTTCTCTCCTTCCTTTCAAATCGTTTTCACTATTTTATCTTCTATTTTCCTTTTCAAACAATCGCCTTACGTCTTTTTTTTCTTTTTTCTACTCTCGTTATATCTCGTAACGTGCTTACAAGTTTGATCTATGAAAACAAGCGACTACCTTTCGTGTCCAATAACTCATTGCGCTGTGGCTTTCCTAATTTCATCGGTGAAGCTAAATGTCACATGATCCCCGAAGAGAAGGAAAGAAACCTTTACTTCGTTCAAGGATAATCGTATGATATTTTGAGCTATACACTTCTAATATGTAAGTCAATAAAATGACGCCCAATACATCCTAAAGAACGTGAGTCATACTAAGAGCTAGTAAAGCTTTTGTCCGTATAAACATTGACATTGTGAGATCAAACACTGAGTCGGGTAGTGAAGAGTTTGACTCAATAAAAAGGGCGTGTAATAACTGAGCGTTATTAAATGAAAAAGAGCAAGACGAGATAATCCTCAATATTGATAGAAGAAAGAGAGAAGTCTATTCTCATAGAATAAAATGTTCAGTTAGAAATATTTTGGAGGTTACTCGGATCAACAAGCACCTGATGAAGGCCACAGGGTTCAACGGGCGAAACGTAGAGATAGCAACAAAGTTGAGAACAACAGTCCGAGTGTAAATAATGATAACTCGTCATCTCAGAAACGATGTACATTCCTATTGTATAACTATATCAAAGAAAACCGCGTGTTAAAGGGCAGTGAAAAGTGTGGAAATGAAATCAAGAAAATAGACGAGGGAACGGCGGAGTGAGTGTCTGAATTCCGTTCATATTCCCAGAAATGGCCTACTTATGTATTTATATACAATAAAAATCATCTTTTTTTTATTATGCAGCTGTTTTCTTTATTTTTAGCATGTGATAAGCAAATAGAGAGATAACTGATCTGATAAAAAGTTCTCGGCCAAATCGACTTCGTAAATTTGACCAAACATCAGATCTTTTGTAAAAAGGCCTTTTTGGACGTCTCACTAATTTTTCAGCACACTCTCGTAAACACATAGACACTCACGCACGCATGCACCCACGTAAAGACACACACACGCGCACATATATATAAATATATATATATATATAATGGACTCTCCCGTCAGTTTCGACGTATGAGGATCTGACAGGTTAGTTGATTCAGTTATGAAATTTTGTGCATTTAAGACCCACTAGTGATTTACAAAGGAGGCCACATATGGAGCAAGAGTAAGGATTGTGAGATGAGATTACTGTTAGATTGCCTGGCTTTTAGATCTTGCTCTCGCTTCTTGAAGATGATTCAGACAAGCAGATTGAAAACTGCTGAATCTACTAAAACACGTTGATCTCCATTCTACCCGCTCCAAGGCTAATCGCTCAAGGGTATTATGTGTTATATTGACAGCTGACAAGTTGCTTTTCAGCTTGTCTTTGTATCTTAGCATTCCTGTAGCCCTGATCTAACTGGCTGTGCATTAGGATATTGGTTATCCTGTCTTCAGACATTCTCAAGACATGACCAGTTCAACGTAACTGAGACTGTATGAGAAAGTCTCGATTCCTCCAATATTACACCTGTTAAACAGGTCTACGTTAGATGTCCTATCTTGAAGCTTAACTCCACAGATTGCACGCAGACAGCTTTTATGGAAGACATCCAGCTGGCATATATGGTATCTGTATGGATTCCACGACTCCGAGCCGTACAAAAGGATGGCAAGTACAACAGCTCTGTAAATCCGAATTTTCGTATCCAGTCGAATACCCCGTTCATTCCACAAGCGATGGCGAAGTTTGCAGAAAGCACTGGTAGCCTTAGCAATCCGATGAATGATTTCATCATCTAAAGTTCCACTGTAGTTAACTTTGCTACCAAGATAGGTAAAAGACTTTACATAGTTCAGGGCTTTGTCTTCTACTTTCAATGGTCTCTCTGGAAATTTGCAGACTGGTGGTTTTTGTTTCTCACCACAGAATTTCTTCGGAGTAGGACAAGGTTGGTGCACTACTTCACTTTTCTTTATGTTAAGTATAAGACCAAATGCTTTACATGCAGCAGAGAAACGATTTATTAGATGTTAGGCCTCCTCAAAGGATGTCACTACAAGAGCAGCAGCAGCAGCAAACAACAAATTACGAATAATTTGCGTACGATGGTGGTTCTTGGCTTTGAAGCGCTTATGATTGAAGAGACCACCAGTTGTTCGAAACTGAAACTTGACGCCACTCTCTGTGTCTGCAAATGCATATTTCAGCATCACCGAGAAGAAAAGGGCAAAAAGAACAGGGGCCATGACACAACATTGCTTCGTGCCAATTGTGACATCAAAGGATTCTGACATCATACCATCACACAAGATATTAGCTTTCATTCCTTTATGAAAGGAGATGATGAGCTTTAGCATGTTTTCAGGGATGCCGGGTTTCCTCAAGACTTGCCAAAGAGCCGCTCGATTCCCAGTGTC